CAGTCAGAAGGAGGCAGCAGAGCTCTGCCTGTTTATCCCAGCAGAAGAAGCAGCCTATGGACACACCGGTGCACCGAGGTTAAGAGGTTGGAGCAAGGGATGAAAGCCGGCAGAAAAAGACAAGAAAACACGATGAACCCTACATCACCCTCTGAATACTTTTGTACCTGTGAATACTTTAGGAAATTAGGAGAAAACTCCGGCAGCAGCTGGGGCTAGTATGCTAATAGCCAGTCCAGCATAAGCATTCAGGTGAACTGTTGGAAAATGAGCACAATAATAATACACAGCAGGGCTGGCGAGGCACATGGGTCTGTTCAGGGTAAAATAAACAAATAACCCCATTATCATAAGAACCGTGGTTAGTGAGCGGTTGTTTAAGCATGCTAACCACGTGCTAAATCCTTCGGTAAATGAAAAAAGTGAAAAACGTTGTTTTCCTGTTATGTTTATGTTGAGCTGGCAAACGCAGCTCGAGGCGGTTGGCAAGTATGGGGGTAACTGGCGCTGTGGATCACAGGAGGGGCGCAAAATATTTGATGTATTCCAGGGGGCTTGACACAACATAACTGGGAACCACTGTGTTACCCAACATTAGGGTGACCATACGTCCATTTTTCCCCGGACATGTCCACGTTTCACTCTCTGTCCGGGGCGTCCGGGGGGGGGGGGGGGGGGGGGGGGGGGGGGGGTTTCTCACCCAGGAACAGAGATAGAATTATGGGGGAGCTGGATTTCCTACACATCCAGGGAGAGTCGGGAACATGTTTCCACCTATATTACATCATTTACATGGGCTCAGCGTACCGGGGGTTCTTTTGAGCAGAGAGCACAGAGAGCGGCAGAGCGCTGATCATTGGTGCACTCAGGCAGCTGCGTCCAGCGCACGGTCCATTCTCAAAGTGACGCAACCAAAAAACTATAATTAACACACGATCATTCATGTCCGCTCTTATTCTCTACTTTCTGTTCTTTAATCGTGCCTGACGCGCTCCGTCATCATGTGCTGTGGTGATTTCACCTCACTGACGCAGCATCGAAACGCGCTCTCCGCTTTGCGGTCAGGAGATCCCTTTGATCTGCTCAAAAGTACCTGATGAGGTGAAAAAGTAGGAATCCAGGCAGCAGTTTTTCTGGAGAGTTTAGAGGAGATGCAGGAAGACGAGAGACAGACAGGACAGGAAAATAGTTCAATAAAAACAAGAACACAAAACAAAATGTTTGAAAAGTAAAATGTAGGAAGATTTATCGCCACCTGTATATAACAATAAGTTATACACATGTAATCTTTATACATTTGATACAATTCAGATCACCTTAAAAACTCAGTCACACACCCAGGGCCGTTTCAAGGCATTTTGGGGGCCAAGGCAAAACAGAACACCCCCCACCTCTATAACTGCGCTCCCCAAAAGCCTCTGTGTAATCCGCATCCTGTCCAGTAGTGTTAGTTATACAGTGTTTATAAAAGCCCCTCAGACATCGCTGACATGTTCTAATATTATCATATGAAAAACTAAATTATCAGACATGCTGTCTCATCTGCTGCTTTTCTAAACTTGCAAAAAGTAATAAAACCATTTGAAAGCCACTATTTGTGGATTCTCTGAAAATTTCCATGGAGTGTGTGACAACTTATTTTTTCATTGACCCTATCGTCTAATCTCACAGCTGAAACAAGCATCCTTAATAATCTGTGCACAGGAAGCGTAACGATGCTGTAGTACAGTGGTCTGCAAATGGCGGCCCGTGAGCCCTCTCTCTGTGGCCCCTAAACCCCGCGCGCACCCCCCACCCCCACCCTGATGGCCGACCGGGAGGTGTAGGATAGAGCTGAGGAAAATAATCAAATAATCAATGCATGAGATGCGGGCATAAACGATTCTGCATCATAGAAGAGTACCATAATCAATTATAGTGGAATGTAGTTTTGTTATTTTAACGGCGGCACCAGCGCAGCATCCACATCTGTCAGAGCGGGTGTTCTCCACATTTACCGGGTAGGAAACTTTGGTCTGCCTTTATGTGGTACTGCAGGGCTGAGCGTTGGAGTTATAACCTGAGACCGAACCCGAACCGAATCAGCCCGACCGGTTCTGTTGGATTTGGGCCGTGAATTATGTTAATTGAGCGGATTGCTGCGCGGCGCGCTCCGCTCGCTCGATCAGCGACTGAGAGAGAGAGAGAGAGAGAGAGAGGATCGGAGGACACTCCTCCAAACACGCGTTATTATTTTCATAATTTCATTATTGTTTCTCCTCGAAGCGCTCAGGCAGACGAGTGCTGTGATGTTGGGAGGTCCGGTCTTGGGGAGGGAGCGGGGTGAGTGACGGCGGCTACAGCGTAACCTGTCTCTTATTTAGGGACACGGAAAAGTTAAAAGGAGAGAGAAATAGAAGATAGAAGTTCTTGTTCCACTTTATTCTTTTGTTTCATGATAATAAACTGATGTCTGAGAAACTGGGAGGAAGCTTTGGTTCATTTTAAGTTACAGGAGATGTTTTCTCCTATCTGCTCCTCCAGAGACAGCATGGACATGAGGGTTACATGGTGAGGGTCCCACAGGACAGGCCAGTGCAGTCACACAGCCGAGCTGAAGGGGGACCGGTGTTGTTCTGTTTTATAATGCAAGCTTGTGTGTTTTGTGCATTAGAGCCAGCAATCCAAACAGCAGCAGTCAAGTTAAAATCCCCCCCCCCACACACACCTCGGCCCTCTTGCTTCTGGGTCTTTTTTGTGTGTGGCCCTTGGACCATTATAATTGAGGACCCCTGCTGTAGTAAAACAAAAGGTATAATAATTCTTATTAATTTAATGTTGTTGCAGCACTAAAACAGCAGAAAAATGAGATTTTGTAATAAATATGCAAAACATTTACATATAAATAGATTCAGAGCCCTTTTATTGGCAGAATCTGATATTAATTTGAGCTCTTACACCTGGAACAAAATGAGTCCCAACATTGCCATAGTGTGACACCATAGGCACAGATCCAATGTCCTCTTTTTTGGAAATGGAAATATGGTCACCCTGCCCAACATGCATGTTACTGGACTGTGGGTGGAGATGGGAGTAACAGGAGAAAACTCACTCATGCGTGACTAGTACATGGAAACGTCCAGGTAGAAAGTTCCCAAGAGGGAATCAAACCTAGGACCAGCTTACTCTGAGGCAACACCGGGCTGTGACTGGTTTGAAAAAATATTTTCAGTTTGAATCATATTAATTTTATACCTAAAACACAAAATATTTATTTACACTTGAGTCATGTGACGGATGACAATCGCAAATAGCATCAGTTGGAAGAACTTACTTTTCCCAAAGTGTCCTAATTACATCTCACTTTATTTGCATTTTGGTTTCCAAACCAATTTCTTACACTTTGACCCCCATAAGCTAAATTCAGAAGGTGTCCACATGAGTCCCAGAAGCCCAAAAGGACTCGGAGGCTATTTTCAGAAGAAATCTGTTGCCTGAACGCTTTTGAAAAGGAGAGACAGACCCTGCAACTTATGGAAGAGAAGAAAAAGACTCTTTAGAGACTCCTTCAGCAATGCCACTTGCAATTAGTCCAGCCCAGTTAGATAATGGATACGATATATTCAATTCAGTTTATTTATGTAGCACCAAATCACAAAAGTCTTCTTAAGGCATTTCACAAAGTAAACATTCCAACTGATTCTACTGATCATTATGCTCATTATGCCATTTAGTTAAACGCTCCCTGTATAAGAAAACCCAGCAGATTGTATGGGGTCCTCACAAGCAAGCATGTAGCGACAGTGGAGAGGAAAACTCCCCTTTACACAGGAAGACACAGTAAACCAAACCTGGATCAGTGTGATAGATTTGGACTCGTTAAAGTGTGTTAATGTGTTTTATTAGATTTTTGTAGAACATTTCTAATAAAAGTTGAGGTAAACTCTCACAAACACAAGATAATTTAACACGAAGGATTTTCACAGAAGTTTCATTGTGAAACTTTAATTGAAACACTCCTAACATTGACTTGTGCACAGATTGTTTCACACGACAAACGTTTAGACCACCTGTTTGTATATTTGGACTGGGGCAGTCTCAGGCCCTGTCCACACGTAGCCGGGGATCTGCCAAAACGTAGATATTTTTCTACGTTTTGGCCTGTCATCCACACGAAAACGGAGTTTTTTCACACGAAAACGGATCTTTTTAAAAACTCCGGCCAAAGTGAAGACCTGCGATTTCTCCGTTTTGGGTGTCTGCGTGTGGACGGACAAAACCCGAGTTTTAAGGTCCGCAACGTCACTTTCCGCAACAAAAAAATGCTGACATCACGTGTGCGACCTGTGTTTACACTAGCCGACAGCATGGAAGCCCTCAGAGCTGCACTCTGTCACTACCCGATCCATCAATTGTCCAAGTGCTTTTTGCTTGTTTGTTTTTGCAAGCGGAATTACTGCTCCTTGCGGAAGACCACAGACGAAGGACGAGGTTAAGAACGGGGGAAGTACTGCCGCCTACAGGTCTGGCATGTCCTTAACAACGTATTTATCCGGGTACGTGTGGACAGAGTTTTTTTTTTAAACGAGGTGGTGTGGATGCAAGTTTTTGGAGGGGCGGATATTCGTTTAAAAAAAAAAACCCGGCTACGTGTGGACTAGGCCTAAATCCTGGCTGTCCTTTTAATCTGTCGCTCTGTTTGAGTTTAACTAGAAAAACCAAAGAGGTTGTTCCCGAAGAGAAAATATTAGATTCACCTTTTTAACCTCATTTGTGACGCTGCGTCACATGATTCGTCTTTGACGACATTTAATTACTCACACGCCGTGTGATTAAGTTCAGTTCCATGTGTGCTATCCTAACCAGCAAACCTGCAGAAGACACCATTTCCATTTCACGCCACATCAAATATTAAAATCCACACGTTTGGACTTGGTTCAGATTCACAATACAACACCAATTTGAGCGGTGAGCACCTATGTGTCGTTAAATAAACCGCACGCAAACCCTTGACATCTTACCTCGCCTTCTCTGTGCCACGGCCTCCCGTTCTGAGGATACTTGCTCTGGCTTTGGCGTTTCTTCTGCCCTCCGTCAGCAAATTTGCACAGCAAAGGCTCCGTTGGGGCTGCAGAGAGAGAGAGAGAGAGAGAGAGAGAGAAGGTCACGGCCATGTTAGGAGTGCATCACGTGACCCAGCAAAAAAGACGTAGCCTTTTGAACTGCATCTCTTTCTTTCCCCTACCACTGGATGCACCTCCATGGCCCCCCTCCCTTCCTGCTCTCTGCCTTCCTACAGAGCTGCTAGACAAATTCCCAGTCCGGCGATGTTGGCAGGTCCTCCTCGTCCTCGCCTCGGCTGGCAGCTCATGAAAGAGCATTACAGGGTATTGTTGAAATAATAATCACAGTAATCGCTCTTGTAAATACCTCTTAGATGGTAACGCAAGACGGCTCTGTCAGCCAAAGCTTATTTCCAGGAGGCGTTCCCCGCTCCTGACGCAAAATCTCTGCATGTTTTACAGTAACGGACGTCTCCCTGTTTGTTTGGACTTTTATATCTTTTTCCACTCAGAAACTACACGAGTGAAAGCCTCGACGCTCTGTTAGACTAAACGCCAACGTAAAAATATTGTGTTGCCTGTTTCAAACAGTAGAGGTGGAAAAAAGGAGCCCTTTCTGCAATGATGGCGTCCATCATCAATAAAGCGAGACACGATGTTGCTGTAATTAATCCAGTTATTAAAAATGTCCTTAGAGCAGCCTAATCTAAGCCGTCTCTGTACCAACAACCTTTTGCGTGCATAATTACCAATCAAAGGTCGATGAAAGTGTTGCGATGACCTATGTAGCAATAAAGATAACTTCTCAAAGGGCACTTTCTCACGCTTGAGCTGCAGGTGAGCAGAGAAAAATGAGTTCAGGCACAGAGCTCTGCTGATGAGATAGAAAAAAACCCATGGAAGTCCCCTAGAAAGAATAAAGTGAAGCATGACAAAATGTTGGCTCTCTTGGCTTCTGACAGCGCTCGTCCCCCTTTTCAGTCTGTCAGCGAGATCAAAATCTCCTAAGAGACACAGATGAGAGGAGTGGAGGAGGAATGTTGTAGAAACCAGGAGAAAATGTACAAAAGTTTAAAAAAGGTTAAATAGAAATGAGTCTAAAAGTGTGTACGGAAAACTATATGAGAGAAAATTAACTGAAGTAACAATAAAACTGGATATTTTCTAAGACTAAAATAAACTGGTATTCTTAAAGTAACGCTAAACAGTTATTAACACTTTAAGCTATCCCGTTAAAAGTGGGTTTCAGTGGATCTTGACGTAGAAACTTTACCAACTTTACCTTGGACAGAACGCTGCTGACCAGTTACTGCATTTAAATATTTCGTGCAACAGGTAGGTGCCCTAGGGGGGAGTTCTCCAGCTGTTTACTTAGTTGGTGGCTAACGGCTAGCAGTTAGCTTTTTCAGTTTGCTGACTGATAATAAAAAGCACAAGAAGTTGAAAAATAAGTTTTGCACTTTTGTTGACATCGTGGTGGAGCCTGGAAATATACGGATGTGAATGTGTGTGTGAATGGGTGAATGACTGATTGTGCAGTAATGCGCCTTGGGGGTTCTCAGACTCTATATCAAATACAGGCCATTTAACACTTAAAAGTAAGAGTACTTTTTTTGGAGGTGAAGTAAAAAGCTAAAAGTAGAGTGAACATTGGAGCAGCCTATGGAGGCTACAAAAACATGGACTGATGGTGACCTGGCTTTGTTGTAAAATATTTGTTTTGTCTAACAGAGTGGATATTTTTACTTTGTGACCTAATTCGGTATGAGTTGGCTCATGTTAGAGTTAACTCGTTAACCAGCTACAGCGGGTTGCTGCAGGGTTATATACAGCAGTTGTAATTCTGCTTTTAACCAGTAGGGTGGAGAAGCTGGAAATGGTTTAGTGTTGCTTTAAAAATGGGAAACATAAAAACCAAAATAATTAATCATAAATGGATATAAAAGAACATGAATGCCTTTTTATGCCCTGAATTGTGCAGCATTTAAGCAGGTTTGTTTAGTGAAATCAGAGATATTAGGGGTCGGGTGTTCTGATTGTTGCTATTTTGTGGGTCTGAAGCTGAAACGTTTGGGGACCTCAAATCTAAATCATACTCTGGTGGTTTTTTTTCTTGGGTTGTCATCAGTAAGTTAAGTTATTACTTCCCATACTTTGAGCATTAGAAGAGAACTGTGAACGTTTAAAGTGTTAAAGGGAAAGCCAAGTCAGGGCACTCTGAAAGCGTTGCTCAAATGAACGCGTGACTTCACCATTGCAGAGAAAATGACAGTTCGGTTGTCTAAATGCACCTGGTGTTTTTGCAGGAACCTTGACGGCTTTCCTTTCATCGCATCCACATTACAGGCCTGACAGCTTGTGACGACATCGGTTGGAGACCACGGCGTCCGAGGGCGGTAACGCAGCCGGACCTTTCATCGTTCAACGCCACAGACGACAGTCGCAGAGAATTGTTGACAGTTTAATCTCAGTTCACAGAGGCTACAAGAGGCCGGGTCTGGGCGATCACAACGCAGCTTCACCAGACGGCAGGAAGCCGAGTTTAAAATGATAAATCTGGATTAAAAACTATCTGATAATAACAATCTGAGGTGGGTTGAAAAAAGCTAAGCAGCTGATTGGACGATAGAAATGATTCAGAATCCAAGGCAAATGAGGCATATATAATAATGCTGCTTAAGCCAAAAAATACAGAAAAACTCATCGAAGAGCAACAACAGAGAAAAGTGTGTGTTTATGTGCCTTCGGGGTTTGCAGTGGGATTAAACTTTTTAGAGTCAGCTCAGGAGAATGCAACCAGGAACGGGAGAGCCGCTACAAAAGAAAAACAACAAAGGCTCTTCCAAACCTCTCCTCTGGCACTCTGGGAGATAATTAGCCAGTGGAGAAATTTAGAGAATCTGACACAGAGCACGTTGACCTTCCCTTTGTGACTACATTCCCAGTTCCCACAGCGGACGGGCCAATTTGTTTAAGACTCAAGCCCAAGATCAACAGCTTCACACCACTCCACCCACCCTGTGAACACACTCACCCTTCTGTAGCCCTAACACACACACTCTACCCTAAACCTCTTGCTGTAACCATTAAAAACACAGAAACACACACCAGCCACAACCATCGCTGGCATGGCTCAGAATAAACTAGGCCACCAGCTTGCTGATGCTGCTCCTTTAGGACACGGCCTTTAAGTGTAACACATTTCACCTTGGCTACGGAAACCGTGCTGCACAAAAACTACAATCATGGACCTGTTTAAATCCCATTTAATGATCCTAAATCACTGGAGAAAGACGAGAAGGACCTCCAGTTTGGAGGTCACCAACTGCTGCTAACAAGGTGCCTGTTTTATTTGAACGCAAGTTGCTGTAGGAGCTGGTAAATACGCTAATGAGCAGCGAGCACCGTCACACACACCGAGGGTAACCACCTCCCAGGTATGCACACAAAAGGGGAGCAGCAGACGAAGATTTAGTGGGAATGAGACACCCGTACTCCACACTGGTCCCAGGCTTTCTGCTCATCAGTGGAAACATTAACACAAAGTAAAATGAGCCACTACGTGCATGCAGATGTACTTCTGTACGAGACAGTGCAATTACAATAGCTAATTACCATACCATACCACTTTATTTATATAGCGCTTTCAACACGGCATTACAACCATACAAAGCGCTGCACAAAAAACAAGCAAGAAAACACAAGTTAAAATAGTCAGGCAGATGGAAAATGTAAAAAGGAGCAAAAGAAATAAAAACAACAGACTATTAACAGTAAAAGCAAATAAAACCAAAACATAAAAACACAAAATTAAAATTGAATTGACTAGGTGGGACAATGGATGAGCTAAGGAGTTATGGAATTAGGGATCGAATGCGTAAGTGAAGTAGAGGGTCTTCAGACGAGATTTAAAAACGGCGATAGAGGAAGCTTGCCTAACCTGCAGTGGTAATGAGTTCCATAACTTTGGGGCACAGACTGAAGAAGCCCTTTCCCCACGAGTCTTCAAACGTGCCTTAGGGACAGTTAAGAGGAGTTCATCTTCAGACCTAAGAGCACGAGGAGGGTGGTAGTAATGAAGGAGATCACACAGATAGGGAGGCGCTTGACCGTTCAAGGATTTGAACGTGAGAAGTAAAATTTTATAATTGATCCTGAATTTAACGGGCAACCAGTGAAGCGTTTTAAGAATAGGTGAGATGTGGTGTCTTCTTTCAGCGCCAGTCATTAAACAGTACCTTGTTGCTAGTTTCACTTATTAGCACAGTGTGCAACAGTAATAAGCATTGCTGGTGCGGTAGTTTGGGACGGGCCCGCATCTGGTCCACATCATCTCTCCGTGCTAAGCAAAGACCAGGGTGGTCCCATAAAAGCAGCGGAAAAACATCCTGAATGCAAAACGACGTGTTTTACAACGCATCACGTTCACCGTCACACTTTCACTCACGCCCGTGTGCGTCTGATTGGCCTGGATGGGGAAAACAATGCAGGAATGTTCCGGATTTGCCGAGGAGCGGGGGTGAAAGGGTGAAACAGCCAGCTTTTCACCGTCCTGACAGTTACAAAAGAGGCCTCTCACAAGGGTTTGGAGTCAAACCGAGCTGGCTTTGCTCTGCTCTCGGTGCGTCCAGAGCTAAAAAAAAAGGGCAAACAGAGGGGACTGTTCAGCCGCTTGCGGCAAAATATGTCAGTGAAAAGAGGCACTGGACTTCGTTGACAACTCTGGTTATTTCTGGTGCCTAGCTTTCAGCTTCATGAGCTAAGCCTCTCTGAAAAGTCCTTGGAAGTCTCGCTGTCTTTGACGGCAAGGACATGTTTGGGTGAGATCATGAAAGAGTAAGAAAGAGACAATGTTTTATTGAGATTCTGCTGCGCTCCGACTCCGCTTGAGGGGATCACTAATTGGATCAACAACTGTCCGATTCCCATCACCCAGTCTGATCCGTTTGCTCAGACCCAGGAAGATACCTCTTAGGGGGAATATAATGGACACAAAGTGGGAGAAAGTGCAGGGAGAACCGTTCTATAACTAAATAAGGTTTAGGAATAAAAGGGCCATGACAGG